CCAAACAAAACTCCCTCTGGATCAGATTCCAGTCGACCCCATTCCTCAGCTTTCAGATCTTTAACAGAAGCCAAGTTTCATGTGCTTTGAGTAAGTAATAAAAATAAACTGAATGCATAATAGAAATATTTAACACACAATTTATATTTAATTCCGAAAGATAAGAGGCTCAAAAGAAACTGATTGTCTACTTGATCTTATTTGGAACTCTGCATTGAAACTTTAAATGGTTTAAGCAGCATTTCAAGCATCGTTTCTATTTTAATATTTTATTTTTGGGAACAGAAACCAATGATCTCTGTCTATTCTGCATGAAGTAATAGAATTTTCAACTCTTTCTGATCCAGCTCATCATTCTGAGGATATGGAAAAACTTGCTCAGTGATTGTTGCAGATCTTGGTCATGCCTTGGTGACAGAACGCAAAAAAAAAATGTCATCAGCAGAGTTTTATTAACAGATGTGATATTTTATAATCTGAGCCTAAAATTGTATAATAAGCGTCGACTGAGTAGGGAACCTTGTCCTATTGCTCAGATCTACAAAAACTAGAACCCACAGAGTATGCCAGGTCTGTAGGAGCTAAACGTGCTGCAATGAAATACCAAGGCATTATTCTTACATGTTTCTCATGAGAGTTATCTTATCCAAGACTTTATCTAATGCAGAATGAATAAGATTTATTTTCTATTTGACTTTTTTTTTTGCATAAATAACATGAATACAAAGTGCATTTTCCCAAGAAGTAAATACAAATGTGCAGCCTGGAACCACATTTCCCTGCAAAGACACCAGCCTTTTTTTTTTTTTTTTAATGATAAACAGGGTTATTTATAGTTCACATTCAGTGCTGCTGTGATCTCCTGCAGACTGTCACAGACCCTCTTGAGATACGAGAAGAAGAAAGCGGATGCGAGGGCAGACAGTGCTAATCTTTTCCTCTTTTTCCAAGTAAAATATCACAATACCAGAGGCCCCCATTCAGTCATCAGGCCAGAGTTACACTGTAATGACATCAATGGTTGCCAGGACAACCGGAGGAGGATGGATGACAACATCCTGCTGAGTCTTTTAGAGCAGGAGATCACAGCGCTGTTCTCGATTAGAACTGCAGGAAGAATAAAAGCCTCGGGATGCATGTATGATTTATAGAAATAAACAATGGCAGACTTGCAGGTGTGGCAGCAGAAGATGTGCTTTTCTCATGGCATGTCTGCATGATTCCGCAATCCATGCATGAATCTAATTAAACTCATGTATTTATTTATTTTACCAAAAAAATGTATTTCTCAAATCATTCTTTAATTTCCAGAAAATTTTTCATTAAAATAATCACTAAACATAATTGAGAGATGCACCTCATTACCAAAACAAAATGCCTCCCTATGTGTGAGGATTAGGGGTCATGTTTACTTGTTACTGAAGGTCAAACAGGCTAAATGCCTGCAGGCCAGCAGATTGGATGGAGTCTTAAAATCCCAACACACATGGCCCAATAATGTTAGGGGGAAAAAAATCAGGAGGCAAAGAAGCCTCCGGGCGCAATGCTAGAGCAGCGGGCCAAACACTCATCGCTTCACAGATTTTCTGATACATTTGAAGAATGGAGGAAGAGAGCTGAAGCGACAAGGTGACTTAAAGAAAAGGAGTCGCCTCCTATCCCTGCCTGATGTTTGTAATTGTTCATTCTGAGCATCTGACCTCACTCTGTGTGTCTGTGGTGCTGTCACGCTGTGTGGGGGCTTTGCTTGACTCCTTCCTTTATAAATGACACAGTCCTGGGAGGCAGCTGCATTGACGTCAGGCCTCTCAGCTCCATCAGGGGCTGGAGCTGCTGAAACTCCCCAAATAACTGGATCCAAATAGAGAAACTGGCTGCTGCTGTTTTATTACTGCCTCATGAACTGAAGTGGATTTCAAGGGTGGATTAGCCTCTCGTTTGTCCAAGCAAACGTGTTTTAATGAAGGTTTTCCTTCTCCGTCCTCCTTCCTCATCTGATCTGTGAGGAAAAGATGTTTTACTATAATTTTTAAATGGATCTTCTGTTACTGTTGGATTTCCTAAGCCTTAAAGTGATGTCAGGGCTCTATTAAAGGCATCTCTTGACTCATCAGGTCTGGTGTAGTAATGGCCAAAAAAAGTTATTTTTGGCAACATTAATAAGCTTGACTTACTGTTGCATTATCATACAGATAATCTTTGGAATATCTAACAGTAGGTCAGGTGATTAGTCTTCTTGCACATATAAAGTAAATCCAGAATTATTCATAGATGTAGTCACTGTAGATGTTTTATCTCTAAATGATTATTCTTTTTTTATGATCTCAGATTGTCTCATTAACAGGCATGCTGCTATTAGTAAGTCATTTTGAGCCAGACTGTACAATTTTTATGTATCTGAGCAAATTAATTAAGAAATCCTAAGAAGACTGGCAGTGAAACAAGAAATGCAGTCCTGTGTTTATTGTTAGAGTTTGTTTCAAAGCTACACTAGTAATATAAATGGTGGGAACGTATTTATTGCCGCTTTGAAATGTCCAATGTTTGCTGTCAGGTATAATACTGCTCATAATCACACCAGATGCCGGGTACAGCTGCATTTTATACCTTTATTTGATATAAAAAGTGTTGTTAAAAGAAAAAAAGAAGTGTGTATAGGTGAACTTTTCTTTTAAAGCAGTGCAGAATGAAATCCTGCCGTCGGAGGAATGGATGGAGGAAAGAGAAAGCTCAAAGAACCAGAGGACTGATGGGAGATTTGAGATTAAAAACAGTGAAGCTGAAGCTCTCATAAAGGACTCTACCATGTGATTTATCACCATAATCCTCTCCATCAACTGCTCCTTTGGAATGAACAGAACGGATGCCACATCTGCTTTTGCAAAAACATAAAATTGAAGAGTTCAACTCTGGTTTTAAGCACCTCCCTCTTCCTGTGGTTAAAAAGAGGATCCAAACATGTTTTCTCCCTAAACAGACGGCTGAAGCCCAGCCCTGGTTCTGCAGCGCTGCTCAGGGCAGGTGTCAGGAGTCTGACCCTGTCCTGCTCTGCATGCTCCTCTGAGGCCCAAACACACCAGAGGATCCTCTCTTTCATCTCCAACCAGACCAGATCTAAGAAAACGCCAAGCTGGGAACGTGGAATTAATAACAGCAAAACACCAGTGAAGCAAAGAGGTGGTTTTCATTCCACCGTCCTTATAGGAGAATAAAATGAATGAGGTTTAGCATCGTGTGGAGGAAAAATAAGGCTCCATTATAAAGTGACAAGAGGGACCTTGTTTCAAACATAGAGGTTACTAAACTGTTTACAGCTCACCCGCTTTCAATGCTCTAAACCCTTTTAGGCAAAGTTAAAGCAACACCCTACAGAGAAGCAGATTTATTCAGCCCTCAGAGGAAGCAAACCTTTCAAATTACGTTCAATTATCACATCTGACATTAGTTTTATATATATATATTTAAAAAACAATAGAATAACAGTAAACCAAAGCAGGAGAGTGAGAAGCTGCAGAGCTCAGCGGCTCAGGTAGAAAATCTTACTGTATTTGCCAAATCTGGGACTGTATGGAGGAGCAGGAAGTAGAAAGCCACGAAAAAAAGCCACACATATGACAAAGATATAGAGAAAAAAAAAATGGGTTAGGGTTAGAACTTCATTTTCAAGATGGAAACAGTGGTGGCAGCTTCATGCTGTGGGAATGCAGAGAATATGCAGAATGGTAGAGCTCAAATCTATTTTATGGTATTAACAAGTTGGATGATTTGGACCAAACAGGTCAAGATTCGAGTCCAACATGTGAAAAGCTGAAACTCATCTAGACCTATGTCTTGCGTCATGTTGTACTCCAAGTTTCACTTCTGTTTGAATCCCGTTTGAAATGAGATAAGGAAACTGCACATCTGTTGTGGCAAACCTAAAAATAAATCCCCTTCATTTCGCCTTGTATCAACCTGGCAAAGAGACAAAGTATCATACCAACAAGAGACGGAGACGAGGGTAAACAGCTTGTTTGTTACTTTATTTGGATCAAGATACAGTAGTACAACTTCCCAACTGTGAAGAGGATTTAAAATAAAAATCCGAGCACAGTCTGTGATACAGAACAATTGACACTTAAGGTTTATTCAAGAGAAGAGAATGAGAGGAGGGGGGTGAGGAGCAGATCAGAGAAAGACAAAAGTTGCTTTTATGAACACAGAGTCCCGGTTTATTCAGCCCCCCCATAACTACCCCCCCCAATAAAACATAAATCAGCTCCAGCTATCCCCCACCCACTTCCTTTGAAAGCATGCATTTGTTCTCCATTAGAACGAGTGGAGGACTCTGCATGAATTTAAGCTGTCAACATTAGTTTTACCGTGCAATAACAACTAACAGATTACTGTAAAGAAAAAGCAAAAGCAGGTTATCCAGGCATACACAAACAGATGACGCTATTAGCATCATGCTAAATGTGGGTTGGTCCCTGTTAAACACTGAGCAGAGGCAAAATAGTAGTTTGGCCGATTCAGTCCGAGTTCCTGCAGGGAATAAACGGAGCGAAGGAAGCCTCAGTCTGGTAGATGGAACACGATCACTGAAGGTTCATCTGATTACTTCAGCGATAAACACCCCAATATGTCATGAAAAAGCTTGATTTAAACATTTAAGAGGCAACAACTGTTCTTATAGGGGGAGAACTTAAGCCTCATGGAGCCAATTTAACCTGCAGATAAAAGTTTCCTTCTGGAAAAAGGTGCAGCAGCACAGAAAGCTAGCTCAGACAGTGCGCCGTGAAGGGGTCGTCTTTGATAGCGACATCTACTGCATGCACCACTTAATGTAATTTGAATCATAGCTTTTTTTTAGATAAAAGCTCCATTTAAAGCAAAGCGGCCTCTGCTAGCTCGGACAGTAAAAAAACAAGACAAAAACAATGAGGAGGGGAGATAAAACAATCGTTAACAGCTTTCTATACATCAACCAGTTGTTCCTGAACATCAATAAATATCTTCTAAACCTGTATGTATTTCTGTTTCAGGGGGATTAGCCGTGGTGGGTTGGTTATGCTAGTGCCAAAACTGTAAGGAGAAAGAGGGAAAAAAAAGGTTATGGTTGGAGAGTAAAGTTGATTAATGTCCAAGTAGTTCCACAGTAAGAGGAGGAAATGCTCACCACTAATAGCCTCCTGGGCAAAGTATTTAACGTCCATGTCGGAGTCAGTGGCCAGCTTCTCCAGCACTGGCTTCACTTCCGTCTGCAGAGCGCTAGAAGTAAACACATAACATCAGCTTCATCTGTTGAACAAAGATCAAAGCATCGGAGGATCTCTGTTCTACTCTAGGGAGGAAGCCAGCAGACGTACCTGCTGTCCAGGACTGGGCCGATCTTCTGAAGAGACTTAGCCACGTTAAAGCGGACATTAGCCACCTGGTCATTGGACATCTTCAGGACCACTGGGAGCATCTGCTTGGTGGTAATCTCCTGGCCGCAAGCCTCTGACAAAGCCTTAGAGAGCAACAAAAAAAAGTTTAACTTGTTCTGTCTATGGAAAAATGAATCAAAAGCGTCACAAAAAGGCTTTTCCTCACATTAATGCAGAATAGCGTGGTCATCCTGTGCAGGTAATTGGGATCGTTGGCCATTCCCAGCACTTTGGGGACAATCGTGTTCTGGGCCCACTCAGCTCCAAACTTCTCTACCAGCTTAGTGAGGTTACTGGTGGCTGCTTCACGGATGGCGTACACTGAAAACAAGTACAGTTACATTAGTCTGATAACTGATTGGCGCTGCAGTAGCTCACTGCAGGGGTTTTTAACCAAGAGACTGGATGTGAAAAAAAAGGATGTTTTGAAAATCAGCAGCTGACATGTATCCCAGAAACCGGAAACTCCTCCCTCTCCTAACAGGGTGAACACATGGTTCCAACTACAGAGACACAAAGATGCAACACAAACACTACTAGGACCCGTGTTCCAAAAAGAAAACACCACAAATACTCTCCAAAGCTTTTTTTAAAATAATTTTCTTTGGTTAGATCAGAGATTTAGGTTTTAGTTTGCGGTGCTTGTTAAACAAGCATTTTTACCAGGGTTGCAACTAACGATTATTTTGCGAATCGATTAATCTGCCAATTATTTTTTCGATTAATAATCGCATAGCCAAAGGTTCCTTAAAGAAGATTTTAAAGAAATTAAACAAGACAAAACTCAAACTTTTCCATTTCAGGAGTTCTGGATAGAGCATGCTGACAGATGAAAAATATTTTCATCTTAAATGCAAACTGTACTTTTTTTTAAATCATTTTAATACAATTACAGCTTAAAGTGGATTTGCTCTGTCAGTTAAACCATGTTTAAGAATATCTATACTCCAGTTAATGATTAATCGATTACTAAAATAATTCACTATTATTTTAATAATCGATAAATCAGATTAATTGTTTCAGACCTAATTATTACAAAACGTATCATAAGGTGTTAAAGAGGAAGTCAGATGCAAAAGAGATGGTCTGTCACATGACTTCAACTTCACAATGTTGGAGACTCCAGCAGATACACCTACACACCATAATTTAGTTATTTCTAATGTTAGCACTCATACATGTCAGTATCAGTCAAATGACAGTTCCAACTCGGATGGGGTTTCATCCCAAAATCCCTGACCAAAATTACAAAGTTAAAATCTTTTGGGGGGATTTATAAAAGTTTCAAATGATTTCATAATTCTGCAAGACATTTAAATTAAAAATCCTAACTTTATGACCATTACATTTTAAAAACACACCACATGTCCTCACTGTCCTTTAGTTCTTACAGTCATGAAACAGCTTAAAGTAAGAAATAAAAACAATTAACTCAGTCAATATCCCGTAAGGTCTTAATTTCAGTACCAGAAATCATCAGGTAAAACCAACAGGAGTTATTCCTCTAACAGAGTCTGTATGGGAAAGTCTTTCTCTTCAAGGCTTACATAAGGCTGGCACGGCCCTAACCCGAGCCGTTCACACAGAAACTCACACCAACAGCATTCCAATGATGTAACCCAGCTGGCCCTTTGTCCTCCGCGCCGAGTATCTGCCTCTCTAATTGGAAACTCAATGTCAAGAGAACACCACATCCACAGTGAATGCTTCATGATAGATATTTAAGTTCTAGAGCTCAGCAGGGTGTGTTGTAGAGCGGCACATTAGAGCGGCTCCTCTGGCGCTTGAGCAGAGGCGGCTGCACCGCAGAACAAAGGACTAAAGAGGCGGAGGGGGGTCGACAACAACCTGAATGAGCTTTGTTTAAATCTACACATGATTTAAAAAAGCTGATTTGTTGAGGTGTTTCCATTTTATAACTGCATGCTGCCATTTTTACACTTTCACATCGATACACAAAAGATTCAATTAAATATCCTTTTTAGATTTTTCACACCAACATAAAACTGGGTCAAATCAACTTCCTTCATTATATATTACTTATATTACACCCTACTTTAAATTTATTTTCTTGCAATATACACAAGAAGGTTATATTATTTTATTTTAAATCAATGGCTGTAAATAGGAAATAATCCACTGCACTTTTGTGCACAATTGAGTCAAACTAATAAAGTAAACCAGGTTAACCAGCAAGCTGCAAACCTTAACCTGTAGTTTATAGTAAATCTGATTAACTTGAAGCTGAATTCCAATCAAAAGCCACATAACCATATAAATAGAAGACAGCTATAATTATTTAAAGAAAAACATGTTACTGGAAAAGATAAGATGGAAACATAACGAAAGCTGCTAACAGTTCTGACAGCTACTAGTCATGTTCTACATGTAACTACCTGCTGTATAGTTTACATCCACCCTCAGCTAACAACATAAATTATTTTGGTGTCATGAAACTGAATGTAAACCTCTGGGCCATAATGCCTACAGTCAGTTCGGCAAGAAAACCACACGTCACCATGGAGACACCACATCCACAGGTAAACATGAGGGTGTTGGCATCATAGCCTGGTAGAAACTCATCAGCTCAGTTTTTCTTCAGCTTGACAAGCTCTGAAACCTTCAGGTGTTTCCTGGAAAGCTAAACAATATCATAACAGTAACAGACGATTCAATAAGACAAAGATCTAAAAGATTATGCTAATTCTGGAGCCTCACTCAGAAGGACGACGTTAATGGCCTCGTGGTTAAAGCAGTGCAATTGTGCTCTGAGAAGGTTGAAAGTACTCTGGGTTCCTGAGCAAGACCTTAGCTCTGCACAATGGCCGCCCTCTGCTCCCCAACTGGATGGGTTAAATGCAGAGAGCGAATTTCCTCATTGTGGGAAAATAAAGGGTTTTACATGTCCTCAAAATGTTGTAGATTTTATGAACTAGTATGAGTAAAAGACGCTGCTTCACAGTATCAGTGTGTGGACATTTACTGAATCAGATTATAGATTCTTTATTGTTTTACCTCTAATTGATCTATTTTAAGTTGAATTTTACTGTATAAATGTCAAACTAATAATGAAAAAAAGCTTTAAGGCAATATTGAATCTCATCATTTTACATTGTAAACACTAAGAATAGACAGAATGAATGAGAATCTTCACACCTACAGTGAACATGCACAGGAAATACTAAAATACTACAATACTAGTCTGCAGCACAGACTTGGACTAAAATAGTTTCCCAGCCCCTGCCTTTCAAACGATCCTTTTGTAACTGCAAACAATAGAATAGCAGTAGCTCTTTCAGATCAACAATAAAGCCAAGGGCTTCAAACTGCCACATGTCATCCCGCCTTTTATCTCTGCTAACATTCCTCCTGCTTTCATTCCTGAACTCCAAAGCTCACCGTGGTGCTAATCATGTACCGTCTATGAAGGAACAGAAGACCTGTCAGAAGGCAGGCTGATATAGCTGCTAATGCTAAAGAACAAAAGTAAAAAAAAAAAAAAATCCCATTATGATGTTTTCAAGTGTCACAGCTGGATCAGACTGTAGAGGAAAAGGTTTGGGAAGATCCTTACCATGATCAATGAGCCAGGCCATACAAAGGGTGTTTAGCTTCTCATCAAAGAACTCGACCCCCTGAGGAGCAAAAACAACCACAGCTCAATTAGGCCGACCTTATAACCATCTACAGCTCCTCTAATGTGTTTGTTTATAAACCTCTAATACTTCAGCTCACAAACAGGGGAGTTTATAGGACATTTAAAGCATTGTTTCCTTAGACCACATGACTCACCAGCTGTCCTGCCAACAAAGGCATGTACTCAATGATGGCCAGGCGGACCCTCCACTTTGCATCTTCAGCCAGCTCTACGATAGCAGGCAGCAGTGACTGGGACAGCTGACGTATGCCGATCACCTCGTTCACACAGTCCAGGTTGGAGATAATGTTGAGACGTACCTCTGGGCACTGAAATAGAAAATAAGATGATAAAACAAGTCTATGTCAGGAAACTGTTACACTTTCTCACTCCATATAATGTAGACTAGCACCAAAAGTCAGCCTTCATCTTCCTAAAGCTAAACAAACCCCTAAACTTTAAGTGAAAAGCAGTAAAACAACCAAGAAAACAGTAACAACTCTACAGGTAGTCTGAGACCTATCTCAGTTTAGTTCTGATAAATGCAGCTTTGGGTGAAATTTGCAAGTCAAACCTGTTAGCATGGAACATAATATTGTTAGATGGTGATGGCTGGTACTTTGAGGAAAATCGGCCTGCTTTAAAGAGACTTAATACAAGTCTAGGAACCCCTAAACATTTACAGGTCTCTGTCAGCATACATACGTTCTATTGGATTTCAAATGCAAACTATTTCTAATTAGTACATTTATTTGCTGCAAGCTGGAAGACTAAAATTCACATTTATTTCCCTTCACTGGACACTCAATAATTAGTTTTAAAGTGAGAAACAGCAGCAGGTGTCAGGTTTTATTATTCTAACTGTAGTAAGGTTCCACCTTTGATTCTAACATTTCAAATCTATAAATGCTCACAGAAAGCATCAAGCAGGAGACTTTCTCCTTACATTTTAGCCAGATTTTTCAAAGTGGTTCCACTAAGAGCCAGACAGTCACCAAATAGAAGGTCTATGTTTGGCTGTCAAGCAGCCGGTTACACCAGACGGCTCATTTTTCAGCAATGAGAACGAATAACATGCTTCAAGGTTAAGATGCCTTGTTAGAAGCTTTTTGTGATTAACACCAACAAACAGCCTAAACCAGAGTTTGTATGGAGGAGCGACCAAACCAACAAAAACCTCCCAAAGTGGCCCAGTTTGGTTACCTCGTCCTTAAGCTGAGTCAGGAAGAGAGGCAGTAAGTGCTCTATTGTGTTGTCCTTGCCCAGGATGGTGGAGAGACCCATAATGACAGAGGCCAGGGCTGACTTCACATGCTGGTTGGTGTCGGAAACCAATTCCTGGTCAGGGAGAGAAGACAAAGATGAGAACAGACAGGAAACAATCCAGTCGTGTTTGTGACTGCAGCATAAAGATAATGCAGCTTTAGGAGATACAGGCTTTTGTTGGCATCACATTTGCAGTTTTCTAAGAAACTGTTTGCTGCTACCCCCGCTCAGCTTTGCCTCAATGTTGACATGTTGACAGGATAAGCAGAGTAAGACTTCCTTTCATAGATTTTTTTTTTGTTTGTTTTGTTTTAAAACAAAACTAAATTTATAGATTCTCATACCTTTATTATCACTTAATAAAAATAACTTAAGCAAATTTACTAAAAAACACCAAAGATGGGGCTATTGATCGCCTATGGCTTCTAAATGCATTTTACCAAAGCAATGGTGCCATCTACTGGTCAAATTAGGACCACGCTGACTGATGGCTGAAAACCATGGAGCCTTTTAGACGTTTAAAGTTCTGCTGCTTTTAGGTTTGCAGTTAGTATTAAAATACTAATTTTGAATACTTCTATGTCCTATTTGTCTACTTAAACATTAAAGCTAAAATATGCATGTATGTACTGATGATGTGATAAGAATTTACTAAAGTTCACAGCCAATAAAGGTCAAGACTGTTTACAATTCCTCAATTAAACATTTATAGCGATTCAGCAGCAGTCCTTTATAATTTTGGTGGAACAACTATAAATAAAAATTTCCCACTAATAGTGAACTGGTGTTGTTGCAATAAATAAACATGACTCCTGTTAAAACTCTGATCTTATCAGGATTTCATGTTTTTAAATGACGGAAACAGATGTGCCAACAGTTAACCATGAAACATGACTTTTGTTCTCCAACTTTGAGGCATGATATTAAACAATGGCAGCTAAGACCTGTATTTGAAGATGTTTACAAAGTTAACTTGCTTTCTGTGATCCACAGCCAAGCAGAGAACTGAGAAACATTGCAGAAAGGGTGTGTCTTGTTTAGTTCTAACTAGCAAGGGCATGAAATTGCATTAGGTCCAAGTAGGATTTTCACAGCAGAGCCTTGGATAAATCTGATTTTACATTTCGTTTTATGTACAACATAACATTATCACTGGTAAAAGAAACCTTCAAAAGAAAGAACATGGTGAAAATAAGGTTTATAATTACCTTATAATTTGAGTCTACTCTAATGATTAACAACAGCTGGGTTCAGTAGTTACTTGCACTGACTCAGCTTGGTAGATTAATTCCAATTTTCTGTTCATAAAGATTTAATTTGCACCTTTGGAGCTTCTGCAGTTTAGAGTGACATCAGCTTATAGCCTTTTTATATTTTGACATTTCCTCCGAGAAATAAACTTTGACCGGCAGTTAAGTGTTATATATTTTCATTGTTTTCAGTGGCCGGCCAACTTGCTTTAAAAGCATGTTGCACTGTGTAAATGCTGCACCTTGAATTCAGGTCAACTTCCAGAGGGGATTATGAAGTAGAGCAAAGACTTAAACCCATAAATTTCAATTAAATATTCAAATGTCAACATGTAAAAACAAAAACATGTTAAATATTTCAATTGAAATGAATACAAACAGGAATCTTTGTATTTGCCGTATCTTGTACACCTGTAAAGCTTATACAAGCAGCATAACAGGTGTTGTTCCACTAGAAGAGGCAATATTTAATGCCTTGATGCTAAATATATTTTTTACCAAATTAAATGGAAGTATTTAGGCTATACTTAATGTTCATGTACTATTCAGACTTTAAAAATAAGCAGAATAAAATATCTGGGGTTTCTAAAGCTACGTGATAATTCAACCAATCTGAAGATCAAATATCCTAAATAATGTACTAAAAACAAAATTAGTGTTTCTCTGCTCCTATTCTTATTTTTTTAGGTAAAAAAAAATAGGAGAAAAGAATGCCCTTTCCATTCAATAAACCTCTTTATATTCATTTTTAATTGCTTTTTATGTTTATTTTTGTTGATATACGTCTTACGGTTAAAACAGGATTAATTGGAACAACCTAATTACAAACTAGATTAAAACATTTTATCTAGTCCCACAACTAATAAAGTTTCCAAAAGTAATTTCCTTCATTTGAAATTTGTTTTCATGAAACATGAAGAAATAAATAAGAATCGAGTAATTAGTTTCAGTATAAAAATCTGAGTGTAGCATTATTAAAGTCGTAGGAAAGCGGCTGTTGCAAACGTTGCAGTTCCAAATTCTGCTGAGTGGTGCACGACTTTACACAAGTCAGTAAAGTGAATGTGATGGGTTGTTTATCAAGAGGGCGGGATTCTTGTGGCGGAAGGTTCACAAGCAAGCTTGATTGTGGTTGGGTTACTTGGAAGCATTTTGCTAACCAGTTAGCAACTTAGTGCTAGTAGTTTCCTAATGGGAAATTACATTGGGACCAAGTAGCACTAAATTGGTGACTTAGAAACGACACTGTCAAGGAACGCTATGGACAGCGGTAACATGCAAGAGGAGGAGAGTTTTGTGTCGGAATTCGTGGATGAGTCTCCTTACTCTCATTTAAGAGTATTAAGTTAAAAGTTCTCTTTTCTGTTGCTGTTGTTCAATAAAAGTACGCTCTAAGATAATCGGAGGCGAGAACACTAAACTTTTAAGCGTCACTATATGGCCTATTTATCGATTTAATGTGTAATTTTAGAAAAAGTGTTCCGAAGTTGACTGCGGCAACCTAATTCCAACCAGTCTGCAGCGGCCCTCTCTCGGCATAGCCATGTGGCTGGCTATGATGGCGATATTTATTTTTATTTGGCAAAATGTTCATTCTATTTGTGTTTATCTGACTGTGTTAATCATTATTCCCCCACCCAAATGAAAAATGTCAGAATTTTTTATCATCAACAGACTATTAATAACAGGAAGTGAAAGGCAGCTCCAAAAGAAGCGTGTGGTGAAATCACGAGTACACTTCTGTTCAAAATGACCCAGATTTATTCTGTGTGCTCCCGTTCTCACCAAGTCCACACTTTTATGTGTTCTTCTCAAGAACATACTTGGCGAGGACATGAGTCCATACTCGCGTCCTAGTGAATCAAGAAACAGCCAACAATTCGCTCTCCAACTATACACTTGTAACGGTCACCACTACTCTGCGAAGATTCTTATTTCAACCGTTGCGTATATTAGCTGCGACATATGAATCAAGATGCTATGACCAAAACAATTAGATTGACAGATGACCGTTGATATATGATTAGTCGAATTTATGTGTACAGACTGACTGGAAAAAAACGAAACCCCCCCCCCACAGATTTTAGGACAGGATTTGTTTTTCAAATAGAAATTCTCTAAATTTTGGGACAATATTGTCTGATAGAGTACATTTATACACATGTTTAAGTCAGAATGATTTCCCTCCGACTTTAAAAAGATAAAACAGAAAAGTCAACATCCTCTCCTCTGCACTTGGCTTGTTCAGCCCTCCTATGTTAATCATTTCCTCCATAATATTTTACATGAACCACAACCCCACAGACAGTGCTCATCTAAAATGTAGTTTAAGAGTGCAAACATGTATGAAGTAAAAGCATAAAAGTTTAAACTGCCAGTTGAAGGATCTTCATATTGAAATGTCTAAATAAAAACTGCTTGATAAGCCACATGTAATATCTGCACAACTTAATTTTAAAGCCAACCTTTATCATGGGCTCATCAAGTTAGTGTTGTTCTATTTAATAGCCTTCAGAATACCCTATAGATCCCCAGAGAAGACCTTTGAAGAGATAAAGCTCATCAGCAGCATCAGCACTTAGTGACTCAAAGTGAGGGTGGTAGTTGATTCGACAAAAATGGAACAACTTTAAAAAGAGTTATGTCTTTACCTTTACGCAGGGCAGGATGTGACTCATTATGATCTGCTCACGATTATCCTCTGGAAGATTCTCACAAAACTCTGGGAATACAAAACATTAAACAAATATGAGGCAGGTAGCTAAACTAGCTCAGATCCATTTAACACCTCTTTCAAGCAAGTCTTACCTTTGACTTTGTTGGCAGCAGCAGCGCGGACCTCGGCCTCACAATCCTTGAGCAGATTTTGGAAAGCTGGAACCAGGTCATTCTTTGTGATCTCTGGACCAACAGCCTTTTGCAGCTAGAGACCAAGAAAAACACAAAAGGTTTTGGCAAAGTACTGAACTGGTACAAAAACAGTGACTCCCAGAGAAGCACTACGCAAGGAGCCATTGGCACAAGGTTGGAGTTCCCATATTTCTTTCTCACACTGTATTATTATTATTGTTTTTAGAAACATTTCCCTAGCCTCTTGGTGTAAAAAAAAAAAAAAGCTCAGACCATTTAAAAATGATCACAAGTTACTTCACCCCTAAACAAATGACCATTTATTTAAAAAGTGCCAGTCTACACAACAGTATGAATCTATAGTCAGGGAATAATAAATATTTAGGGATGAAAGTAGTTTAAATTCTTGCCAGTACTGTGAGAAAAAAAAAACCCAAAAACGTTTTAGTTTTCATTCCTTTCAAAAACAGACATTCTTTATCTTAAGTCTTTTTCTTCATAATTTCAGCATTTCCCCTTTTTCATTCATTTTATCTTTTTATATTTAACAATAAATGTAACACAGCCTTTACAGTAGTAGATGGAAATGTATTGGCCTTATGATCAGAGACCTCATTATATTTTTTTGGTTAAAATAAAACTCTTGCTGCATCAGTTATTTTACCTCCAGATAAAAAAAAAAAACTAACAAAAAAACCCCGAAACTTTTATGGTTATACCAGGTTTGCTTTTGTGAAACTTCTGGAAGACTGGAATCACCTCATGTAACCCAATAAAGAAAATAGTCACTAAGACTGCCCACACCAAAAAACTTTTGTTTGTTTTCCATAAAAAAAAAAAAAAAAAAAAAACTGAAGTAGAAATGTAAAGGGATATGGATTTTTTTTCCATAAAAAATAAAAAAAAAGATTAAATAGAGGAACGATGAGAAAGAACCAGTCAAAGAAGGTCTATGTGCTGTTTTGTCTGGGTCTATTTTAGGGTGGGCGATATCGAACATTTTCCCAACAGATATTTGTCCATCCAACAAATGGCGATGCATGTTAGATTCGTGCAGGAGACGTTGTGGGCTAAGACAAGCACACCTTCACAGTGCGTCTTCTGCATCGCTAGTTGTATTAAGCAGCTATTCACACTACTAAAACCAGATAAGGTAAAGATGTTTGTTTTGATGTCAAAACAAGTCTTGTCAAATGTAAGTTTCATCCAATGGGAATAGTTCTTTTTTTAGAGTCATTCTGACTATATTATGAGAAATCATTTTTTATTTATGCTTATTCATTTATTTATGCTCAGAATCTTTGAGGCTGATATTTATTTCATTTTTATTTCTTTTGAGAAGTGTACAGGTTCACTGGAGGACTTTTTCTTTAATTTTGTATTTGTTTTAAAACCAAATCCAATCCATGACAGATTGAGTTGCCTGTATGCAGTTAAAAAGAAGTCTCTGGTTTGGATCATAATTGTTTGCCTATAAATAAAACTGAGTTTTTTTCTGAACATATAACATACTTCAGTTCTTTTTGTCTCAGGTTTAAGTGGATTAATCATTTGGGGCTGCAGCTGGAAGGAGTTATGTGTAGGAACCATTAAAAAACAGCATTATAATATTTTTGTTTTTGCTGCAGGCTGCTTCTTAACCTGTAGCCAGCAACCGCCCCAAGCAAAGGGGCTCAGAACCCACCAGAATCACATTTAACTTGTAATTGCAAAAGCATAAAAACAGAAAATGACCACCATTATGATAGAGCAGCACTAAAAATTCATCATCTTGACAGTTTAAAGTATGAACAGTTGAGTATGTTATAAGTCTGTTTCTAAAACTGGTGTCAGAAAACAGCAGGGGGAGAATTTGTTACTATATGATTGGAACACCAATGACAAATTAAAGCCAGCATTAGAGTGAAAAAAATAATCATCTTTGATTTACCTCTGAGAACTTGTCCGCCACCATGTAACGAACCCTCCAGGACTTATCTTCAGCAGCTTGACGCAAGGTTGGCATCACCAATGTTTCTAGGTCCTCCTGAGGCAGGAGAGTTGCAATACTGACACACGCCTCCACTGCAAGCAGCCGAACAGAGTCCTAAAGGAGACAAAACAGGATCAGATTGGACAGTTGGTAAAACACAGAATTATAAAATGCATGTTGCTTACAAAGCTAATAAGGTAACCAAGCTTATACCTGCTCATCTGATGCCAGAGCAGTGAAAAGAGGAATAATGTCAGTTTTTACATATTCCAACTCCAGAACTTTTGCAAATTCCCCCAGTTTAGATGCAGCAGCACGACGCACCATGGGAGTGTCATCAGAGCACAAGGTGCGAAAATGCCTAAACGTAACAGAAATAGAGTCAGAGAAAATATTTAAGGCACACACAGACATAAAGAAGAAAGAAACAAGAGAATGGGTTTTTTCTTTAAGAGGTGACTTACTGCCGGATTTCAGCCTTGACCGTGCTGGAGACACGTGGATAACACACACTAAACAGGCCGCAAGCTGATGTGCGAGAGGTGAACCAGTCACCACTGGCCAGCCGTTTCACCAGAGGCTCAAAATGAACTTCCAGGTCAACTGGAGAGTGCTCCTGTGAGATCTTACGCAGGGATTCTACAGCTTTGTCTCGGACTACTGTCTCTTCAACTGTAGCAAGGCTTTCCAAAGGAGGCTGTGCGTCAAAAAAGAAAGAAGTGCATTCAGACATTTGGAAGACATATCCTAATATTGTAAACACCTGATGACCATTTCTTAAGTTTCTTTTTCACATAAACAAATGCACAGAAGGGCAAATCTCTAATCCTTGGTAAGCATTAATTAAGCTGCAGTGGACCGCTGTCATATATTGAACTATTTTTTGTTTACAAAGCTCTGAGTGTCCGATGTGTCAATGACCTACTTTTACAGAGATTAAAACAATCCACTGATGATCAGAACCATACATCTTTTCTTTAGAAACTGACCAAAACCCTTAAAAACTCAATTATAGGCGCCAAAATTAATAACTACTTTGACTGCCAGACAATAAATACAAAGAATAACAATGCTAATAAATGTTTTCAATGTTCATTATAAATCTTGCACATGGTTAGGGGCACTTGTTTTGGTCCATTTATTAAAAAAAAAAAAAAAGAGAGAAAATCCTTAATTTAAACAAATATTTCAAATCATCTAAGCAGATCCAAACTTACCAGAAGACAGTGGACATACTCCGGTCCTCCCACCAACATAGTGAAATTGCCAAGCTGTTCTGCCAATGCCAAAAGCACTTCATCTTCATCATAGATGGTGTCTAAAAATAAGCAAAATAACAAGTGAGATGAATTATTCACATGATAAAACATTTATCAAAAACACTTCAAAGATAAGCTTACCTGTAAGGAAAGGAAGCAGTTCAGTGCGAGTCCTCTCTACGCCAAGAGCCAGAGCAATAGTAGACAGCTTCTTGATGCTGTTCAGTCGTAACTATAAAATCAATAAATAATTGGTACATAGATTAGAATGCGATCACAATTATAGAGGCATGAATACCCTATCATTAAACTCACTAATAAATAAAGTAATGAAATAGATAGAGGCCTGTTACTGTTTATGTTTACACGACGCTCTTTATGATTGAATCTAGTTAGCTAATGCTAACTAGCGTCCATATTCCTCTAAAATCAAAGTAGCCCGATAAAAGCTAGCTTTTGATTAATTTTGTTGTGACCAAAGGGGCTTTTACTTATAATCTTGACAGCATGTAGTGTTCTAGCTTGTTTCACCGGGAACACTCCCAGTAGTGTCAGTCATTTTGGTCCACAAAGCTAACGATGCAATAATGCTAGCGGATTCAATTAACCGAGAAGGTTGTATAAACAATTTGAACATAGAAATGTCAATATTTAAAATGTCGGGTACCCATTGCTTGGGGAAGACATTAATAGCGATTTTAGATGAACAGCAGTAGTCTCAACTTCCAACAAAAACAAGTATAGGTAGGGTACGCCCGGCAGAAAATTCCCGACAGGCCTCAACTGGGACGTTCGCAAGCTAGCTAGCATATTTGCTAACATGCTAGCGAAGGAATCTGGGGCCTGCATACAGGATGCGTAATCATGTTTTCCACGATACAAAGTTGTTGTATTTAGTTAATGTTAATACAACCTGGACGTCTTCATTTCGCAGCTCGTCAATGAGGACAGCGATAGGGTAAAGAGAGTCGTCTCCATCAGCTCCTGCCATTTTGGATACTGGTGCAGTTACCGAATGGCGCTGCTGTTTCTGGGCGGCACTACGGGGTTTCTGCGCAGAACGACCGCAGCAAGGAGCTGCTTCCTCCGTCTGCAGTAATGATGCCTTCAAGGAACCAAATGGGAATGGGATAAATCCGAGAAAGGGTATTTCCCTTTGCTTTTTAAATTTTTATGTATGTATTTATTGGACCATTTGTCCGGAATAAAGTCTGTCTGTCTGTCTGTCTTAAATGAAGATAGCTTGTTATAAGAAGGTACGGAAGATGATTAGGGCCACTGAAAAAAAAAATAAAAAATGTAACTATTTTTGAAATTTTATTTCAGTATTATATGAGAAAAAAGTCAGAATTCTGATTTTAATCTCAGAATTCTGACTTTATTCTCAGAATTCAGATTTTTTTTCTCTCAGAATTCTGACTTTAATTTCAGAATTCTGCCTTTTTTCAGAATTCTGCCTTTTTTTTTCTCAGAATCCTGACTTTAATTTCAGATTTCTGACTGAATTCTGACAGCTAACAGACATGTTAGATCAAGCCGTAGCCATGTCTGTTTTAGAGACTAAACTAGCTCTCTTGTTTTAATCACCTTCAGCTCTTCTATTAATGAAATAGCATCACCAGGGACCCCACTGGCATGTAAAACGTTGCAGAATTCCTTCATTTTCCACCAAAGTGTTACTGGCTCTCCCAAACAACTTACATCTCTGTCAGTGAAGCTGAGTGCTCCCACATCTCTTCCTTTATTGTGCCCATCTACATATAAGATCCAAAATTCTAAGATTAAAGTCAGAATTCTGAGATTAAAGTCAGAATTGTGAGGAAAAATATCAGAATGGTGAGAAAAAAATCAGAATTGTGAGAAAAAAGTCAGAATTTTGAGAAAAAAGTTGGAATTCTGAGACTTTTTTCCCATATTAAACTGAAATATTTAAAAATCAGTTAACTTTTTTTATTTTTTTCAGTGGCCCTAATCCTCTTCTGTAATATGGAATACGGAGAAATGAAAACATGCACAATGCCTGTAAAAAAAAAAAAAAGAATAGTATCACCTGTTTTATATTTAGACCACAGCAGCCCTTCTCAACCAGACCTATTTACTGATGTTTCAAAACTTTGTTTTACCTAAAATGTACAGCAACAGTAAAGTATAGTCTAGTAATGTTGTAAGAATTTCCATTGCAGGGTTTTTAATAGTGCACTTACCTTGTAAATTGGTGTTTATAACATCACAGGAGACAAGAAACTGAGCTGGTCACCTGGTAGTTGTAAACATTATGGTGGAAAAAAATTCATAACTTGAAAAGTTTAGACTCCTACTTGATCTTTATGTTTAAACAACTGAAAATAGTGCAAGCCAGTCAAGTGGCATGCTGTGCTAACTGTAATATCCTTTTTATGCATACTGACTGAAATGTTAATCGTGGGGGCAGTAGAGAAGGGGTAGATGTGGCTGGGATATGAAAATCATATTAATAGAATACAGCAGTCAGAATATATAGTGCTTGTAAAATATTGGCGTAAAACTTAAAATTGAAGGTGTTTGATAACGATATCTGGCTTCTTCTGTCCATGGTCCTATCCAGAAAACAGCTCTGTTGATTTTTTATTATTCTTCAGTTTATTTTTATTTTATTTTTTTGTCTATGTGAGCTTTTTGTTGTAAGTTTTGACCTTAATAAATTCTTAAAACTACCTCTAAGTTCCTGTCTGCAGTATCTGACCTGCTTCAAACCTTAACATCACGCTCACTGGTACGGTGGTCTGTTCCAACGGTATAGCTGTGTTGCATCTGCCAGTTGTCAGGGCAGCTTACCACTTTGAGTATTTATTACTTTATTATTTATTTAGTGTTTATTAACTCAACTGTTAGGCCTGAAGAGAAACCCTCATCACTTTATAAGTACTAAGTCTGTTTATTTAGGGTTCTTCTGGTTTTTTTTTCACTGTGTTGCAGTTTTTGAAACGTTATTTAAACAATAAATCAACAATGATGCAACTAAGTAACATTAACTTTTCAACACAGCATCATTTTAATATCTCATAATTTCCTATTCATTCCTCTAGTAAAGGTTTAGTTAGGTTAATCTGCTTGTGGTATAGCTCAGAATGGCAGCTTGTGGACTTCTAATGTATTGTCTGGCTCCGAACCAATGGAAGAAGTAACATTTTTGACCAAGATTTTGTTTTAGCTCACAAACTTCAGTCCCAACAACAGAAACCCAGGATTGGGGATCAAAGGAACAAAAAGAAAGGCATGCCAGGTTCTCCAATTTAATGGTTTGATTTCCTGCAAGGATTAAGTGCAGAGAAATAAATTACTTGTTTTGTTTTAAACACAATCTGCTGGGAACAAGTTATATGCATTTAATACTAGTACAGCTTGAAGAATTAAATAGTGGACAGACTGCAGACATGAATTGCTTGCCCAACTGCTTCTTCCCCTTCAAAAATACGGAGGCTGTCATGGTACCAAATGCCTTCTGCAATGTTCACATCACCTTTTTTTGTCAGGTAATGATGAGGTTTGTTTAAATTAGAGATGAAAAATCAGGATTTTGGGATTAGATCATCAAAATCAATATTTCCTCACCTGTTCAAGAATCAAATCCATAAATTCCTTAATACTGTTGTCTGCTGTACATTAACATTGTATTGTATACAAATTAGGGGATGAGAAACAATCATGAATTAATGGGTAAGTGACCCGTCCCGTTTGCAGGACTTACCACTTGAGCTAGCCAAGTGATCTGACATGGCCTTCTACACAGCAGCAAGCACCTAAAACACAATTTATTTGAACTTGGAGTTTTGAGCTGAAGTATTTAATCATGTCTTATTTTTCTACATTTTGATTCTCCGAAGACAGATTTTGTTAATATGGTTTAAGCTATTTCAAAAGTCGGAGCCTGTTTTAGAATTCTTCTTTTTTACTCTGGTGACTGAAAAGTGTATCTTTGTTATTATCATTACAACTATTTTCTATAGGTTTAGTTAATTATTTAAACAATATAGCATTTGTGAGAGGGGAAATTGTGTTTGCAACATGGAGCGGATTTATTAATAGCAATTACTTGAAAATCTGGCAACTACTGGATAGTTAGATTATCAGCTTCGTTGGATCTCACCTTGTATGTTTTACACCTTCCTTAAGGCATGACTTTCAAATTCTGTCCATATGCTGTGAATAGTATTTTACAGACCATATATCAGTAAAAAAAATTGCAATATGGTCCCTTTTAAAGTTAAAACTGAGCAGAACTTGTGTGAAAGAACTGCCAAACTCCAATAAAAAAATAATAATTAAATAATCTGACAGATCAGGAAATAGTTTTAATATAATAATGGTTTAAAATTTTATCCCAGTCCTATATGTTTGTTTCATTCTGCAATCAGTAAACATGGTGTGAAGGTTACATTTAAATAACAGTTGTAATTTAATTGAATCTAACAATATCTCCTCATATCATAGCTATGCTACTGCACTGACGGTTAAAATTATTCACCATCATTCAATTTATTCAGTGTCTTTATTTCAACTTTTTCCAGGAAATGACGTATATATTCCAAATGCCTTTATTTTGAAACTCAACAAACCGGATGTTTCGTAATATCTTTGTTAGTTATTGAGCAAGATGGCGTCTCAGCAACTTCAATCTGCTGGTCAATTGTCTCAAGCCGGTTTACAACAAACTGCATCAATGCAACAGCAGCAGCAACAGCAGCTCAGTCAACAACAAGACTTTGATCCAGTTCATAGATTTAAGATGCTTATTCCGCAGCTTAAGGAGAGTTTACAGGTAATTACCCCGCTATTAGCTAGCTAAATGATGGATACTATTGCTGCCTCAAGATATCCTGCCTGTCTAATATATATATAAACATCTTTAATTTTCAATAGAATCTAATGAAGATCGCAGCATTAAATTTGGCTCATAACACATCAATTGATAACGGCGTGTAAGTAGAGTATCAGTCCTTTTTTTTTAGCCTCCACTCAATAAGCGTTGTTCTTCTAAAAGCTGTTTTTATTTCTGTTTGTTCAGTAAAAGCAGCGACACGCCAGTTCAACGTTTTGATAAAAGTTTGGAGGAGTTTTACGCCCTTTGTGACCAAGTGGAGCTGTGTTTGGTAAGGCTGTACCTCAGTTAACATGTTCTCTTTAAAGCTGGAAGCTGAAAAAACACCTTTATATATGGAAGTCTGATTAAAAATAATACTAATATAATTTTTCCTGCAAATTAATAAACTTGTATATATTTATAAAGCTATAATCGGCATTAGAATTTGAGCAGATTTCATGAACAACCCATCCAGTTAATTTGCACAACAAAATGAAAATCATATAAACCAATATGTAAGAAGTGAAAGGACACTGGGAAAATGATTTAAAATGCATTGTTTAATTCAAAGTATTTATATTTTCAATTGAAAGTCTTGATTTATGACAGCCTTTAGTTTCCTGCATAGACAACCAGTCTCTCTTATCAGTCGTGTGTGATTTTGACCCATTCTTCCACAAAAAAAAATTGTCCAGCCTTCCCCTTCCTTGAATTTAGAGCTGTAGATGTTTTCATTGTATCTCTGTAGTATCTAGATTCAGTTAGTGGTTTATTTTCCTTCTCCACATTCACTTGAAAGCTTCATTAACATTATTATTATGACCCCTCACAACCCCACCCTGAACTGTTCTCCCTGCTGCCCTCTGGAAAGAGACTTTGAAGCATCCCATCCAGCAGATTCCAGAACAGTTTCTTCCCCACTGCCATTAGACTGCTAAATGTTATATATAATGGGTTATAAAAAAACCCCTGAATGTTGTAACTGTAACTATACAGTTGTATGTTTACATCACTTTTCTTCACCACAGCAGGGTTTTTTTTGCACTGCACTTAAAAAAAATGAAAAGGTCTAGAGAGCTGTACTAAAACATTTCTTTTTGTTTACACTTGTGTGTACAAAATTAGAAAATAAAATATGTCCAAGTCTTTAAGTCTAAATTAATCTTGCCTTTAAGGTCATGGTTTTACCCAAATATCCACCTTTGACTTACCTAGTCCTGCTAGATGAGTACAGATCTTTTATGTAATTTCTCTAATACCCCCTCTTTATGTATACTGGCATAGAGCTGCACACTGTTATGATCCCACCTCCAGAATTCCCTTTTGGATTGGTGGTTTATGGGTAATATCTTCAGCCTTTTGACCTTTAAATGTTTTCAGTTCAAAGTTTATCCTTCCAGTATTTTTTAGGCATATCTTAATGTGTTTGAACAAACCGTGAACACACTTTCATAAAGTTTTCTGTTGTTTCTTTGAAACAAACATCACAGTTTTAATGCAGTCTTTATTGTCTACTGGATCTTAGGCAGAAGAAACAAAAGAGCCATCCGAAGAGTTTTAAAAAAGTCATGATTATTCATCTCCAGTCAAAATAAATTTTTTACCAAATGAAATGTTGTGATTGAAAGCTTTCATTTGGCAAGACTTTTATATTCTAAGATAGCTATCGTGTGCTTTATTTTGAATGAAACACCTACCTTACAAATAATCACTTTCTTTTTCTTATGTCCAGCGTCTGGCGTACGAGTGCCTCTCTCAGAGCATTGACAGTGCCAAACATTCCCCCAATTTGGTCCCTACAGCCACCAAACCAGACACGGTGCAGACGGAGTCCATGTCTTATGCCCAGTACCTCAGCATGATCAAGTCTCAGATTTCCTGTGCCAAAGATATCCACAATGCTTTGCTGGAGTGCTCTAAGAAGATCGCAGGAAAAGGACAGCCTCCGGGCATGGTGTAAACTCTGACTAAATATTTATAATTTTTTTTTTTTTTTTGGTATGTTATAAGAGGAGGCAAAGCCACAATTTTCCATGTTTTTATTTTTTATTTTGGTTAAATGCTGTGTAAATATTCCTGACAGTGATGCTTTGTGACCAGCAGGAGGCAACAAAGTTCCAAGAACTATTTTGTAACCTGTTTGTATTGACTATTAAAACTTTTTTCTGCACACCTTGATCACTTTAATCAGTATAAACAGGAAAATATGCCAAATTCTTTCTTATTTGGTTCTTTTTTTTTAATGAAAAAGCTTCAAAAGAGAACATGATGACAAGGTGATGAATTACACACTAAACTCAAAGGTGGTGAATCACACTAATATCCAAAAGCGAAGTTTTGTTGTATGTAGAAAGAGGACAAATCTTCACATTTGACGTAGAGAGGGGTTGAACAAGAGCTTTTAAGATCAGAGGCTCGGAAGTGTCCTGAAGTTTGATGGTCTGATTATACAAACAAGCTAGTGTTGTATGGTTGGCCTGCAGCTGCACAACACCTCAGGCACATCCAAGCGACTGACAAGTGCTGCCAACCAAAAATACTTCTGAGTCACCAGTAGGCGTAAAAAGGTCATCAAAGTATACTTGCACTCTCGTGCTCAGGTATCTAATAAAATAAAACAGCAATGGGAATGCTAAAAGGTAGCATCAGATTACTTTCCACTCATTTATTTTCAGACACCCTGAACTGATGATTTAAAACATAAAGTACAAGAATATAGTTGTATGTATTCAGTGGATCTGCTGTGTTTTCTGGACTTTGCAGTAAAGCAGAAGGTTCCACATATGCAAACAAGCAACAATATTAAAAGAAAAGTTCAAGCGTTTTTGTACAAAGAATAAAACTTTTAAATACATTTAGACATGAATTGTAAACATAACTACATATATCCTACAAGCATTGCTTTATTTCACATAAAGAACTCAGTGTTTCACAAAGAAAGTGTGAAAATGTGATCTTTTTATAAAGGTTAAAGTGAAACAGCTGTTTTCATGTAACCCAAAAAACTCATTTTAATGCTATCCTTACTTGACCTTCTAGTTTATGTGGGTGACACTACACTTTCCATTTTTAGGTACTGGATTAAAGATGAGACGTTTGGAATATTGTTTACAATCTAATCCTGCTATAAACTTCCCCTGCTGACCTGCTCACTGTTTCCTGGTCTTAAAGAGCTTGGTGCTCTTCACTGTGTTGATGCGTAATTTGTCGTACAGATTTAATTGAAAAAAAAAATAAAATACTTCTATAGACATAAAGCTTTTTAGATGCTTCATAAGTGACCATAAGTCCAAGCCAGATGTTAAGAGGAAACATCTAAAACATGCAGGTCAGTGAGGGCACCCAGGAACAGATACGTAAAATAACATTGTCTGTCGAGCTATTATTAGAACGTTCTCGGTTTGGTGGTGTGTGTTTCTGTAGGGGACAGGCACCACTGTGAGCTTTGAGTTTCTTAAAAGACTTTTAATAACACAAAGACAAACGTTTACTGGTTGGGTTTGTTTGAGTCTTTACCCTCCAACATGCTCTTCCTTTTATCTCTGGGGAAAGACGAACAAAATAAGCACAAAAAAAATATTAATTGATTCACTTTATAAACATGTGTGCATATATTCCACCTGATCTACATCCAGGCTTATAATCAGCGCTGCATGAGGCCTAAACACTGACCTGTGGTGCTGCTCAGGAGCAGGGAGGGCAGCGTTATGCTGCTCAGGAGCAGGGAGGGCGGCGTGGTGGGCAGCATGGAGCTGCACAAGGTTAGACATGGGGGCTGATGATTGAAACTTGGACACCGCCTGCTGCCATTCCTCATCAAATGACTGTGCTTCAGCTGCAGAGGGGAGATTAAGTTACAGAAGCACAGTGGGAGCTACAGTCAAACTTAGCCTAACTATAAAGATTCAAAATTGTAAACATACATTCATCCATATTTTGAAAGTCCTGGTTGAACTCTCTCTCTCCAGTTTTCTTATTGCATTTCTTCTCCACAACATGCCCTTTGTCCTTGATGTGGTGTCCAATCTTCATCTTCTCCAGACCACTTTCAGAGTCTTTAAGGGCTTGGCGTGTCTCCTTAATCTTGGAATGACAGCAAAGTTAAAGCTGTTAGATTGAGAAGGTTTGTTTCTTAAGGGTTTTGGGCACCAATAGGATGTAAATGCTGGATTGCAGCTTAAAATTTCTCAGCAAGTGGATTGGACAAATTCCATCCATATTGATTCTGAACAGTAAAAAATGAACAGATCTAATAGATCTGGATCATTGACAGCAGCCTTCTGAATTACCGGTAACAGTGATATTGTAGGCGAGGTATCGAAATTAGCTGCTGTTGGCATTACAAAGCTGTTCTCACTAAAGGGTTCTTATCTAAAAGGAAGCTGCATTTCTACCCACATGTCTGCACTTCACTTACCCTAAAAAAAGAGAGAGAGCAAGATTTTTAGAGAATAACAGGAAGGCTTAACAGAGTACAGTATCCTTTGCAGCCTTAAGGCTAGGGCTGTGTAAATAGCCTTTTGTATCAGTCCATTTTGAAATTTATTGATTAGGTAATTTTTTCCACACATTTGAAATGAGGACTGGTGGAACGATGTAGAATTGTTTTTTAAGAAAGCTTTAACATTTAAAAATAGGTCAGCCATACTACCAAGCTTGTTTAACCTGGCTGTGGGGAGGCTGAGCTGGTAATTTCATTTATCTGCCTAAATCTCCCAGAAATGCCATTCAGTTCTGCTTTGGAGCTAACTGAAACAATATAAAACTCGTAAGGATAAAACAATTAGTCGTGATAAATCGACTATTGAAATAATTGTCCAATAATTTAGTAATCGATTAGTTGTTAACTGGAGCATAGAGACTATATATGCTCCAGTTAACATATATAGTCTCTGTTTAATTTTGTAAAAAGTCCTCTTTAAGGATGCTTTGGCTATCCGATTATTAATCGAAAAGTAATTGTCAGATTGAAAAATCAGACGTATTTTCTATTGACATTAATCAGGTGTATACACTGCTAAGCCCTATTCAAACCTCTGTCTGGACTAGAGCATACTGGATTTAGGAATAATGGCCGACCTTTGCACATTTCACTGTTGTGGTAAGGATTTAATATAGCCAGATGTTTAAGAGTATAAATATGTGATACAATAATAAAACCGACTTTATCTAATAACACATGTCTAACAATAATCAAATTTAGGAAGTTTCTTCAGAACATTACCACACATATATGCAAACACTTACCCCTCCAGGTGCGCAGCGCGTCTGCGAAGTTGCCTGGAAGACCTTGGGAGGCTCATTTCCAACTTTTGAATATGTCATTATTGATGAAGACCTGAACGAGTGGGTGTTGGAATCTGCTGACAAGTTCTCCTGAAGAACAAGCACATGATATACCAGCACCACTTAATAATACATCTTATTCATACTTACTTACTTAGCACAATCTTAGAATAAAAGAAGCATGTTTTATACATTAACTTACAAAGTTTCTGTTCACTTCTTCCATCCTGTTTCTCACACTGTTCATCACGCTGCCAAACATGCTGAAAGGGTTCTGCATCATGTCCTGCTCCAAAAGACGAAATACCTCATGAGTTTAAAAGCTGCACTGATGTCCCTGCTGGATGTAAAAAGTACATGCACAGAGTGCCATGCTAAATGTTTCCAATGCAGGCCATTTTGCAAGGAGAAATAAAATGCTTTGGGGTTGCTTATCACAGAAACGGGGGGAAAACAAAACAAGAATGGTTCCTTTATTTGTTTCTTCCAGAACTGAGTAAATTCCACAGTTTTAAATATGCAGTGTCAAAGTACATTGACTCTTTTAGAGTTATTACAACAACAACTGGAGTAAGATATACACTATGTAAAGGGTTAATTTCACACAAATTCAGAGTGGGACCAAATGCACTTGGATTGGTGTTAAATTTAACTCTTAAAGTGTTACATTAACACTGCAAAATTGACTGGATACATGCTTAAATAAATCCCTGAGCAGGTTGTCAGTAATCATGAATGTTTGTTAAAACAAATGCAGCAATCCAGTTTTCCACTAAACCACCTGTAACTAGCTGAACACATCCAGGTGTACGTCTGAATGAGACAGCAATCTCTTTAAAGAAATTTAAATAATTTGCAAGGGGAATCAATTCATGAATAAAAATCAGTTTTTAAGGTACATGGTTAATTAATAAATGGCAGAAGAACACATATATATCCTGCTTAACAATCAATGTCATCAAATCAAAGTCAGACATGTTAGCTGCAATTAGAGCATGCACCTGGTCAGAGTCAGACGAGTCAGACCCAACTCACCGTGCTTTCAATGCTGCCAAAAGGCAACAACGACTGGCTAATTTCCTAAGGAGTCAAACATCATAATAATAATTAATAAAAATAATTAAACTTTATTGATCTTAAATTGGGGAAATTTATCTCTGCAGTTAAGCCATCCCCTTGGGGAGCAGTGGGCTGCGTTTAGTATCCTTCCTCAGAACTGCATCTTTATTTCTGAACATGGCGTTCAGCTGCTTACACATTTGGTGAGTCTGCTATTCAAATGAACCACAGTATTTACAACTCTTTAATATGTCAACACTCTAAGATTAGTCAAACTGAACAAAGACAGTTTGTAGACATCCATTAAAAAAAAAGCCCTTCAATTGATTTAGGTCTGAACTTTGATTCTAATACATGATCATGATGTGATCTAAGCCACAGTGTTGGCTGTGTGTCGAGTCGCTGCCCTAGTCTCAAATCTATTGCCGTCTTTAACTGTTTTTGCTCCCGGTTTCTCTCTTTAGATCAACTCTGACCAGCTTTCCTATCTTGGCTGAATAATATAATATCTCAGCCTGATGCAGCCTCTGGCATTGCTCCAGTCATGTTATATTTTTCTCCCCCCCACCAAACTTCAACAAACATTTTTCAGAGTTTGGTAATACTAAAAGAAGCTCTAGTCCATGGAAATTTTGATTTCAGAAGTGGGGGAGGGAGGGGCAAGCATTATTCAATATAACTCCTATAGATAAGTTCAGTGTGTTTTCAAGTAGTTCTTCTGTGTTTATATATTGTATTTTTTTGTGATAATAATATATAACTGCAATAAATTTGATGTATCAGCATATATATACTTTACAAGGTTATTGAAAGCTTTAAAATGTGGAGCGGGATCTTGAAGTGGATGTCCTGCTTTATGGTGCCAATGAAGGTGTTTTAGGAGGGGTGTTACACAGTTCTTTAAATGTAACTTACACTTTGACTTTTAAAGAAGTCTCTTATGACTCTCTTACTTTTTTAGGACATCCTGGCTGCGAGTCTAATAACCAAACACACACACGCACATGACACCAATTCAAAGATTTTTGTAATTAAATACACTTGTTATTAAAACTCTTCTAGATGACGTGACCCAAGAGAAGAAAAAAATGCCTAATTTATAGTAGTAGACTCCATCATCAACTGTTGTATTTTGCAGTCATGTTTTTCTAAAAGACCTTTCTTTCACAGACACGATTCAGAGGAGCATCAGATGTTTGTAAAGTGAGCTTCTCATGAATGACAGCGGTGACAGCCAATCACACAAGAAAAGACGGAGCTCCAATCAGGAGTTTGTGGGCGGTCTAAACTCAGAGAAGTGGGAATCAGCTTGAGCTGCGTTTTTCCGACTGGTCATAGCTCTCAACGATGTCTGTGTACTGTAGCCTAACATTGTTTTGTTTGGACAGTTAAAAAGTGGGGACATGTCGTCTCCCACCCCAAAATGACATCTATGTTCTAGTCTCTAAGAGTCAATGAACAACAAGAACAGAATAAAACAAATCAGAGAATAAAAACTCACTAATGTAAGCTTCTTCAAATCCTTCCAGCACTCGACAAAAGTTTACAGTTCCCATTAAAAGTTTCAATCAAAAAGATTTGATCCAAGTTTTTTATTATTTCCTGCGACAATGTCATCATCAAAAGAAGTAGTGATAGAAAGTATTAAAACAAATTATTGGAATCCCAATCATCAATAAAGCCAAACGGTTGTCCAGCCAATCAGATGTCAATACTTCATTATCTGGACGCATCTTGGTTTCACTGATCAAGGTTCCTAACAAAATCTTCTTTTTTTACCATAAAAATGGTAGGATAAATTAAGGGCTTCCCATCATTCTTAAAGTAACTGTCAGTAAGTTCCTGGGTCTTTCTCTGCCATTGGAAATTCCCCTTGCTTACTTGCTTTTAAAGCAATACACATGTGTATGGGGATGGAAGCTCATGGAAGGTGATTTAAATGAAGCATCCTGCCGCACACATGCTCGGCCTTCCAGGACCACGGGTGTTTGTGACCTCGCCATTTCGGCTACGCGTCTCAACAGCCGGACACTATGTGTGCGAGGGGATTTTCTGGGGTTGCGATATACAGAGTTATTGCGTGTAATCAGTGGGGTGTTGAATGACTTGTGTTCCACGTGTAATTAGGTCGCATCGCCGGAGATTAGAGTGGGGTTTAACACTGAAAGGGAGCCTCGTTCTAGGAAGGGTGAGGTGGGCCGGGCTGTCCAGTCAGGACATGACTCCAGTGGGACTGGAAGGGGGGTCGTAGAGTCCAAGGCTGCCCTCTCAGCTCTTTTTAAAGGTCAAGCTGATGTAAAAAAGCTCCTGAACTGCCAATTTTATCCCACAGAGCATCTATGGACTAATAAATATCAGCTGCATAGCACTATGTATTATACTTAGACTATGAGAAGAGGAGATAACATGGCCAGAAATATTCAGGACTTTCTGGGCCATCAAAAGGGCCATCAGTTCAACAGAGGCAAATAAGAAGTTTTCCTCAATTTATACGACTTCTTTTTCTGATTCCTCTTTGTCGTATTTACACTTTAAAAGACCGATTGTCTTTTTTTCCCTTATGTTTGAATATTTCAGAACTAATTTAATCATCAGACAAAGACAACTTGACCAAAAAGCAACAATTAGAGAAAAATGTCCTTTAATAGGCAATGCTATCCAAACTGACCACCCTGATAATAACAGTTGGTTCCATTTCAACTTTTATTTGAGCTTTCTGAGCATTTGTGGTCAGCCTTGGATTACATAATTCAATACACTCTCAGTAATATTCATCCTGGTTCAGTTATTTATGCACAGCTAAAGTTGGTTTTGTGTGTTGCTCGTTTCTGGGAACATTCGTCACTTTTACATATTTTCTCTGTTTATCGGATCATGTTTCTCACGGCGGTTAGCTGGAGTCACAAAGCTTTAGATATAGCCTTATAAATAATTTCCATGAAAGAGAGATGTCATTGAAAGGATTTCTCATTAGGTTTTTTTATTTCTAATCATTTTTGAGTTCTAGCCTGCTTCATGTTGTCAGACTGGTGCTAATAAAGCAATTTCTTAAACCATCTGAACTGTTTGGGTTTTTTTATTTACGAAATTTATATGATATAAAAAAGAATTTGATCAACTGAGACATGTAAGTGCACAAAAACTGGAAAACTGTAAACAAACAACAAAATGATCACCGGTGCGCATGGATAACGTCATACACACTCCGCTTTGTTAGTAAAAGATATAAATATAAATGATATAACCGCGCATGTCTGGGAGACAGTGATTCGCCTACATGTTATGAATGCTGGTGTACCATAAAGAATAAATTATGAACAGTTTAGTTTGTGCCTTCAACTCGTTGCGCATAGGAACACGTTACTTGGATTACAAAACCGAATATCTTCAGAACAGCTCCAAATGCCACAAAACTAATATGGATGAGTAGAACATGATGTAATAACGTAAAATCAAGGGGCCAATGTAAAAAAAAAAAAAACGGTGTTCCCCTTTATGCTCCTGGTAATTATTTCTATTATTTCTCCTAAAGACAGCGCAGACTATATAAAATGTTAGTAAAAAGACAGTTCATTTAAATAATCTAATAAAACATTAGTGCTGTTATAAGACATTGCTTCTGTGAACAGGTGCCTCAATGAATGAAGGCTCTAGTCTACAGGTGTAATGTGACCCTGGCAGTGGGTCAGTACGGGCAACTAGTGCAGGCGTCCAAACTCATGTCAATATTGCAAGATGGAACTGTGGCTGTTTGAGCTTACAAACATATTTTGGACCCATATGTGTGTGTGTTTCAAATGTATCTCTGTGTGCACATTTGCGCCTGTGATACTGGAGAACAGCTTGGGAGCGAGCTGTCTGTCATCTAGCAGCTAATGCACCAGCGATGCCAAGTTCTGCGAAACAGATGGCTGAAAGGAGCAACAATGAGAGAATAGAGCGGCCAGTGACATCTGAACATAGACTACATGCCATGAAAAAGGCAGATATCAGAGCGCCACTTAGGATTTCACCACTGCTGGACTGAGCTTCCACTGAAACCTTTGCAATTATTATTTTTTTTTTTTTTTTAGTTTTTTCCTGACATTAATAAACATGGGATATACCCGCTTATGCAGTTTTTGTTGCATGCATCTTTGCCGTGGTTTATTACTCTAATGATTGTCACTATTAACGGTACTCGATAATTATAGACTTCTGTTGGGTTTTTATATGTTGACTAAAACAGAAAATCTTTGTTTTATGTCACAGTAACTTCAAGTGGACTGAAATGCAGCTTTCTTCACTTTTAAATGAATACTTAATCATTTTATCAGTAATTTTACAGAGAAACATAAAACAAACCCATAATCATTAATAAACTATTCTCATAATGGGCTTTTTTCTACAGTAGCTACTATCACTGTGGTTCTTTAGTGAAGTAGGATGAACCCTCCAGCTCCTTACAGCAGAAAGCAGAGTGCTTGGGACTGAGGTCACACCTCTGATGTAAGCCATTATCAAGGATAAATATACCAGCTCTCATGGGACCTTGGATTAAAGCAGGTGACTCACACCAACTTTGACTCAGGATCAAATATACACCACTACTCTACATCCAGTACATGTTCTTATCACGCCAGATAAATGAATACCACAATGGTACTGAGCAAAGCAGATGTAGATGCAGATGTTGAATCTGTCATTACATTATCTGCAAATAAGTGTTTGGATTGATGCTGTGTGGCTTGTAATCTCATTTTTATGTCTGGTTCATTTGTTTCTAAACTGATGTAAATAGCTAGTGTCATTCATTCTCTCATTAAGCAACCTTTTAGTATAATAAGGTACCTTTACTCTTTCATACCCTTAACTTCAATGTTATTTTGAGACGATTTTGGGAATAATAATAAAACTATTAATCATGTAGATAGATCAGCACAAAAATACATTACTGGCTTGTTTTCAGTGTATCAACCACAGAAATGCTCAGGTTGTCTGGTTCTAATCTACATTGATCCCACTGATCTAGGAAAAACTCTCAGAAAAATGTGAAAGTCAAAATACCCTAATTTGCTTTAAATCACAGATAAAACATATATTTTTTTAAAAGTGGCCTTTAAAGTCATAGGGAAATGGCTGTTCCAACCGCTGCATTTCTGAATTCTCCCGAGTGGTGCCTGACTACATAAGTGAATAAAGTGAATGTGATTGGTTGTTTATCAAGGGGGCAGGATTGTTGTGGTGGAAGGTTCGCAAGCATTTTGGTTGTGGCCAGTTTGTCTGAAGCATCTTGCTAACCAGCTAGCAACTTAGTGCTAGTAGGTTCCTAATGGAAAATCACATTGGGACCAAGTGGCACTTAGCAACGACACTGTCAAGGAACGCTATGTACAGCGGAAACATGCAAGAGGAGGAGAGTTTTGAGGCGGAGGTCGCGGATGAGTCTCCTCTGTCATACATTTTTTTTTCACAGGAGGAAAACGGTGAAAAAGTTGTTGTTAAAGAGGATGCCAGGGTTGCAGAAGCTTCATTTGGTGTAGAAGGCTTACAACCGTACATGTTTGAGCCCTTGCCTCGCAACGCTGCCAGTTCTGTTAGCTCTATGCCTGCAGTAGACACAGACGTCCATCCCCGTGAACACTGGGACAGAACTCAATTGTAAAGTAAAAGATTCTTATTTCCTATTTCAACCGTTGCGTATATTAGCGGCGACATATGAATCAAGATGCTATGACCAAAAAAAATTTGATTGACAGATGACCGTTGATATGATTGGCCGAATTTAGGCGTACAGGCTGACGTATAACGAACTGGCCTGCATAAAATAAGACAGGATTTTTCTTTTTAAATTGAAATTTTCTAACTTTTGGGACAATATTGTCTGATAAAGAGTACATTTATATACATGTTTAAGCCAGAATGATTTGACATTTAAATATGACTTCCCTACGACTTTAACTGTGCTATCTAAACATTATTAGTTGTTTCCATTCCAACGTTCCTTTCATTTTTCTTTTAGAAATTGTTTTATCTTTTTTTAATATAATGACTTATTTTGATTAGTTTTTATTCCTTAATTTTTTTATTGCCTTTATGTCTCTGCAATGTGGATTTCTTTTTCTTCTTGTGCAGGTCTCTTAATTGTCATGCTACAGAAAAGTGCTATAGAAATAAACTTTCCTTTCGTTGCCTTGCCTTGTTTATTTCGCTTCAGTATGTTCTGTGGGGGCATCAGAGATTTGTTAGAGAACATCAGTGAAAAAACAGCATCGTAGAAAGCAAGGAACACCCCAGATTAGTCAGTTTGCATCGCAGACAATAAAGGTTTTGCACTCCACAGTTCATTCTTCTGTTGAAATGTGCCGAAAAAGAATGTAATTGTTTAAATCTGAGGTTCTCTGTCCTGGTCGCCGAGTATGACTATCCTGCACATTTTAGGTGTCTTCTTAGTGCCACGCACCTGACTTATATGAAGGGATAATTAACAGGCTTCTGCAGCATTTGACGGCCTCTAAGCATGCAGCACACTGGTGCCTGAACAATAGGATTGAGAACCACTGATTTAAATAAAACTTGTCTAGTTATAGAGTGGGATAAAAAGGGGAGGTGACTAACTATGTGGAAGGAGTTTTAATATGTGACTTTATGGCTTTAATGTGAAAAGAAACAAATAAAGCACAAAAAAAAAACACAATATAAAGCATGGTGGTGGCAGCATCATGCTGTTGGATCCTTGAGCAAAGACCCTTAACCTGACACTGCTCCGGGCGCCACACAATGGTAGCCCACTGCTCCCCTAAGGGATGGGTTAAATGCAGAGAGTGAATTTCGTTGCTCTGTACTTGTGACAGTTTAATAACAATAAAAAGCTGGATATGCATGTTTGTAACTATAAGGTAAATAATGCCACTGCTCTTGCACTAAACTGTAGTGATGCTGCCTCACCATTTTCACCATAGACACCCCTCAAAAAAATCAGAGAATTCTTCTCTAACCTATCAGCACATCTGAGAAGCATTAGGCAAAAATTAGAGGGGCTCCTTAACACATTGTCCAAGAAGTCTGTGCTTCTATTTACAATAATGTATTGGGTTGGCGGAAAAATATGCTATTAATAGCCCTTCTAACCGTTAAGAGAGGCCAAACGAAATTGCCCTTCTACAAAACCAGACACTAACATGGGCAATCGCCTCTGCAAGTAGAGTATCAGTTACAGTAGAAGTGGACAGCCTCCCAGCCTGGCCTTAGTAAACACAGAGCCTCCTCCAAACATTAACGGACAGTTGAAATGTGGGAAATAAGCAGGGACGACCCTAAATGATAACCAAATGGTAGCACACCGGCTACACTAGAGGAGATATGTTCTTTTTGTTTTACAGTCTATGTTCTTCTCACCCTGTGCTGGTTTCTGAGGGAAAGAGATGAGCTTGGAGACTCTGCTACATTACGTCTGCGGTTTCTCCCATCTGTGATGCTGGGCATGGAGGATGCACCAAAAGGTTCGGAGAAGCTGCGCATCATCTGCCTCATGTGGTCCCTATGAGCAGAAAATGGATCGCTGCTGCTGGTGAAAAAAAAAAAGGACATCTTAATGTTCGCACATATTCTAAAACAGAAAAAAACACGTCATTGTATGTTATTTCATGTCGGACTTGCAGAATGTGGCACTTGCTGTGAAGATAAAATCTTAAAAAAACATGTGACATGTATATGTACAGCATGCAACCCTATGAGTCAACACTTAATGGAGACAATTAAAGCTGTAAAGTTTAGGTGGATGGCTCTATTGGCTTTGAAATCCTTTATCACGGAAGACCCTAAACCAGGTCCAAGAAATGTGTCTGTGGGCATCAATTTTCTGCACAGCTTCAAAGTTAATATCTCTACATTTCTAACACCCAAATCCTGAGATAAAAAGTTACTATACTTCTATTATATCTTAAATTTCTTAATCTTCCTCTGTTTCTTTGTTTCAGGAATGTACGGAAGAGGATTAGCGCCACTGAAAAAAATTTAAAAAGTTAGCCCGGTTTTTTTAATTTTATTTCTGTATAAGAATTCTGAATTTACTTTCAGAATTCTGACTCTATTCTCAGAATTATTACTTTATTCTCAAAATTCTGACTTTAATCTCAGAATTATGACTTTTTCCTCAGAATTCTGAATTTAATCTCAGAATTCTGACTGAATTCTGACAGCTAACAAACATGTTAGCATCAAGCCGTAGCCATGTCTGTTTTAGAGACTAGCTCTCTTGTTTTAATCACCTTCTGCTCTTCCATTAATTAAATAGCATCACAAGAGACCCCTCAGGCACGTTAAAAGTCACCTAATTCCGCCATTTTCCACCAATGTGTTTCTGGCCCTCCCAAACAACTCACATATTTGTCAGTGATGCTGAGTGCTCCCACATCTCTTCCTTTATGGTGCCCATCTATATTAAGATCCAAAATTCTGAGATTAAAGTCAGAACTCTCATATTAAAGTCAGAATTCTGAGAAAAAGGTCAGAATTCTGAGAAAAAAAGTCAGAATTCTGAGAAAAAAAGTCAGAATTCTCAGAAAAAAGTCAGAATTCTCGGAAAAAAGTCAGAAATCTGAGGTTAAAGTCAGAATTCTGAATTTTTTCCCCATATTAACTAAATTAATATTTAAAAATAAGTTAACTTTTTTTTTTCCAGTGGCGCTTATCCTCTTCCGTAATATGGAGTTGTAAAAACATGCACGTCAGTGAAAAATAAATAAATAAGAAAAGTATGACCAGTTTTATATTTAGACCACAGCAGCCCTTTTCAAACAGACATATTTACTGGTGTTTCAAACCTTTGTTTTTCCTAAAATGTATAGCAACAGTAAAATATAGTTTAGTAATGTTGTAAGAATTTCCATTGCAGGGTTTTTAATAGTGCACTTACCTTGTAAAAAAAAATCTGAATTCTGAGATTAAAGTCAGAATTCTGTGATTAAAGTCAGAATTCTGAGATTAAAGTCAGAACTCTGTGATTAAAGTCAGAATTCTGAGATTAAAGTCAGAACTCTGTGATTAAAGTCAGAATTCTGAGATTAAAGTCAGAATTCTGAGAAAAAAAGACAGAATTCTGAGATTAAATTTTTACCCATATTAAACTGAAATAATAATTAAAAATCAGTTAACTTTTTTTTTTTTTTCCAGTGGTCCTAATCCTCTTCCATAATGACCACGGCTTTTAGAAGATGTAAAATGTCTTGAAGAAACAAGAGAGGTCCTGTTAAATAATTTTTTAACACTTAGGATCTTGATATTTCCATAACTGGGAATCTAAGTCCACTTCTCATCAGCTGTTTCCAGCTTTCCTGTTCCTATTTAAAAACATCACTGCAGTAAAACTGCCACCTTGGGTTAAGGAGTGATTTTAGGCTTTTTACGACAACTAAACAAACTCACAACTCTTTCATAGAAGTCAGTCATTGAATTTTTTTTTCTGTTAAATGTGAACTCCATATTTATTTGTATTTTGTTTAATTTTAATTTAATTTAACTCAATACTTTTTTGTTGCTTAATTTAAACTTAATTTAACTTTTTGCCCTGTAAGATGCTGGTAACCTTCATTTCCAGAGGGAGTCTTCCCAAGGGATCAATAAAGTTCTGTCTAGGTCTAAGTCTGAGTCTAAGTCAGATCTGCAGCGATTTGGATGTCTGGAGCTAGTCCAGACCTCTGTAAGGTGGGATTCTTTAATGCAACCATTACTCTCTCCTCCTTTCTCACTCAAAAGCAGTTCGTGGTGGAATTAGGCTTTCTTTTTGCAAAATGTTTTCTGAAGGAACACAAAACGACTCATATTTCCTGGGAGCTCACCGGGGATAAATTCTTTAATGAACACACCGCACTGAAATAAGAAGCTCGCCTAAAATACATTTCTCCAGCCTTAACACTTGACTTAGAAGTCGGGTCAAGTGTGTCCACAGCAATGCTCTGCAGGCATGGATCATGTCAGAGACAGAGCAGCCCGATGACACTGTCAACACTAACACAGACACGGACAGAAAGCTTTTCTTTAAACTATTTTTATTTAGATCTATTGAAAAAAAGTTGCACTTTTAAAATATTAGGCACACTTATAACGAGAGGTGCAAATCTTTGCAGGTTTCAACCAGCTTCATGGCAGCTGTGGCTAAGTAACCAGCTGTGGCTAAGTAACCAACATGATAAAACACCCCATGTTTTTTTTTTCTTTTTTTGTGTATCTAACGCTCAATCAAACCTCTAACATTTCTTCCACACTATTATCAAATTTCTACCCATTCATGTAAAAAATAAAGTGTGAAAATTTTGAATTTACGACAATTTGGATACTTACGTAAAAAACGGGTCATCATCAAAGTCCTTCAGCAAGCTGTTAAACATGTTCACAGATTCACGACAAAAACAAAAATATTTTCCTCTTTAAAACAGAAGTCCACCTTTAGTCCACCGCTTCACATGAAGTTAGAGAGTGAACTAGAGAACCAAAGTCACTCTGATATGAAGACGTCACGGAAATCCTGCACTCCTATTGGCTCTTGTTTAAAAACAGGTTTCATCCACGCGCTGTCTGTTAGGGGGCGGCTGCTATGGCAACGGCACTCCAGAAATTTCTTTTAAAACTCCTAGGGCTTATCAATCATGTGCATATTTCTAGAGTATTCCCTTTCCTTATCTAAATTTTGCACAAAGCGTTAATGTGAACCAACAGTCCCGAGCTTTACGTCAGAAAGGGATCGAGCAATTATAACTCATGTGGTTGATTTATTATTTAATTTGAAGTTTCTAAAAGTTTTTATGCACACCTAATTTGCAGAAACATCTACCCTCTGATTTTACAAATGCAAGTCAGCACTCATATAACCAAGTTTATGATGCATTTGATGTTTTTAGTAATTATTTTATTTTGACACCAACTGTCTGGAGACTATAATAGTGACAGCATGTCCCAGAGTCAGTATAGGTTTACCATCTGGATGCTCCACAAATAGCTGCATGGGTTGTCTCATCTCCATCAATATATCTCAACTAGCAACACAACACTGGGAAAACATAAACATACACACACACCCCATGCTTGAGTAAAAAGAGGAAAGTTTGCAGGAGGAGAGACCATTACTGTCAATGTGCAGGATTACAGTTGGCATGGGCATGTGTGAATATCAATGTAGATCTATAAATATGCATTTGAACTAACATGTGACAACATTCCTGGGAATGCAAGTACCAATTTAATGTAGGTTGGTTATGCAACCTCGTTAATATTATTTACAAAGCTTCACATCAAGCATATCTTTTTATGTTTAGATCAAGGCTATGTTCTGAACGTGTCCAGTTCTGGTCTTTAAATTTTGACACATTTTCTTACTTTAGTGAGAGATAAGCCCTGGCCCAGAAATTGCTATATTTGGTGTGACCCCTGCAGGGATGGTGATATCAGGTGCACAATCAGATTCCATTTTACTTTCATCTCTATTGGCCAGATGTTTTATTCTACGTAACTTGAAGTCAGAGAGGCCTCCCACACACAGGCGATGGGTTGAGGATGTGATGACACACTTAAAACTTGAGAAAATGTACAGAAGATGATTAGGGAAATTGGGAAAAAAAAGTTAACTGATTTTTTTAGTTCATAATGGGGGGAAAGTGTCAGAACCCAGGACTTTTATCTCAGAATTTCTACCCGTCCCCCCCCCATATTAAACTCAAATTATTTAATTTTTGTTTTAAGTTAACCAATTTTTGTATCTTGTTTGATTCAAATAAGATAAAAAATGGCCCTAATCCTCAGCAGCCATTTCTAGAATATATTTGGTTACAATTCCCTGCTGAAAACACCGGGAAATAATTTAATCCTAGGCTCTGTAACCTTACTGCAACAAGTGGATATTAATCTATCAATTTATATTATTATCTTTTTTTTTCCTCTTACAATCTTATGTGTATATGTTACCTGATTTTTTCCCCTGTTATTATCAGTTTATTGCTTATTTTGGGATTGTTGTTTGGTTGTTATTTTGTATGTATAATTCAAATCCCAATAAAAAGATTTGAAAAATAATAGCTCAACAAGGCTCTGTTACAATTCTGGCTGGATATTAGGACATTTGATCTAAACTGATCAGTTTCTAGGCATATATCAGGATAGTAAACATAGCCGTAAACATTTGATGTTAGTAAGGCTATAACAGCAGCTCTGTATCAACCTGCACTATTCATCCTAAAGCAGTTTTTCTTAAAGACTGGCGTTATTTTAAGGCTGAAACGTCTCACTGTATGCACGTTTCAACTATTTCAACCTATGATATCATTTTCATATAAAAGAAAAAAATGGTTATGCTCTTAAAAAGCTAATCATAAACTAGAAAATGCCAGATTGGAGGTATAACTATGCAACATAAGCTGTTAAGCATAGTGGTGTTAGCATTCTGCATGAGGGCGTGAAATATTAAACAAGGAGGACAACAGAGTTTATTTTATCTGATCTCAAATCAACAGCCGAGTGTTGAAATTTGAAGGAACTTGAGTTCAGGAACAGCGCAGTGATTCCAAGCTGATAAAAACTGGTTGTGGAATGGATAAGGCAGGCAAAGGCAAGAAAGCAACCAACATATTTTCATAAATCTACCATTTCTGATGCAATTTTTCAGTTAGAGAAAATCCACAAAAATGTGACATTTGTTGAGGGATCTTTTGAGAAGCTGTTGTATTAACATTCTGCTCTGAGCAACAGTTTGTACAAACAGGCGTGTAGCTAGAAGGGGAGCCAAGGTTAGCCATGACTATCCCTAGCCAATTATTGGCAACCCCTACAAAATAACTTGTTCTCAGAAGGATGTAATGAGACGCCTCTGGAATAAGCAGTTCCACTCTAAACCAGAGGGTGGCAGCAGTGATAGTCTCAAGTGGAATTTTATTGTTAGTGTATTAACTATAACAATGGGAAAAATACAGTAATTCATTTCAATTATCTAAAACTAAAGGTGACAGAGAATTCATGCTCTTCTTTGAACTAGTTTGTATGTTTTATAGGGTAGAAGGTAAAGATTTGTCTCTGCAAGTCATCTATGAATCTTATATATCCCAGAGATAAATTACAACCTATTTATCTCTTAATGTATCTGTATAAATGTTATGGAAAAATCATCACTTAAATAAAAGCAGAGAGTGATTTTTTTAAGTCCCTTTCTGATGTAGTGCATGTACAAGGCAGTCCTGCTCTTCGGCCATATTTGTGAGAAAGAAACTAATTTATTATGGACTTTTATCTTTCTCCTAAGGCGTTTCTTTACTTATCATGAATCTGTTAAACACTTTTCTTCTTGCATCTGTGGCCCATATTCAAAGTATGCAGTAAGAGCAGTGGATGAAACCAAAGCTGACTGGAAGCACTGGAAGTATCCATGTATAATGGCACTCCCCCCTGAGCACCCAGTCTTTCATTTCGACAGCATGGATGTGTACATACAGGTGCTGGTCATAAAATTAGAATATCATGAAAAAGTAGATTGATTTCAGTAATTCCATTTAAAAAGTGAAACTTGTATATTATATTCATACATTACATACAAACTCATATATTTCAGATGTTTATTTTGTTTAATTTTGATGATTACAAATGACAACAAATGAAAATCTCAAATTCATCATATCAGAAAATTAGAATATTACTGAAGACCAATAAAAACAAAGGATTTATAGAAACGTTGGCCAACTGAAAAGTATGAACATGAAAAGTATGAGCATGTACAGCACTCAGTATTTAGTTGGGCCTCCTTTGGCCTGTATTACTGCAGCAATGCGGCGTGGCATGGAGTCGATCAGTCTGTGGCACTGCTCAGGTGTTATGATAGCCCAGGTTGCTCTAATAGTGGCTTTTAGCTCTTCTGAATTGTTGGGTCTGGTGTATTGCATCTTCTTCTTCACAATACCCCATATATTTTCTATGGGGTTAAGGTCAGGAGAGTTTGCTGGCCAATTAAGAACAGGGATACCATGGCCCTTCAACCAGGTACTGGTAGCTTTGGCACTGTGTGCAGGTGCCAAGTCCTGTTGGAAAATGAAATCTGCATCTCCAAAAAGTTGGTCAGCTGCAGGAAGCATGAAGTGCTCTAAAACTTCCTGGTATGTGGCTGCGTTGACCCTGGACCTCAGAAAACACAATGGACCAACACCAGCAGATGACATGGCACCCCAAACCATCACTGACTGTGGAAACTTTACACTGGACTTCAAGCAACGTGGATGAAGTGCCTCTCTTCTTTTCCTCCAGACTCTGGGACCTTGATTTCCAAAGGAAATGCAAAATTTACTTTCATCAGAGAACATGACTTTGGACCACTCACCAGCAGTCCAGTCCTGTTTCTCTTTAGCCCAGGCAAGACGCTTCTGACGCTGTCTGTGGTTCAAGAGTGGCTTGACACAAGGAATGCGACAGCAGAAACCCATGTCTTTCATACGTCTGTGTGTGGTGGTTCTTGAAGCACTCACTCCAGCTGCAGTCCACTCTTTGTGAATCTCCCCCACATTTTTGAATGGGTTTTGTTTCACAATCCTCTCCAGGGTGCGGTTATCTCTCTTGCTTGTACACTTTTTTCGACCACATCTTTTCCTTCCCTTCGCCTCTCTATTAATGTGCTTGGACACTGAGCTCTGTGAACAGCCAGCCTCTTTAGCGATGACCTTTTGTGTCTTGCCCTCCTTGTGCAAGGTGTCGATGGTCGTCTTTTGGACAACTGTCAAGTCAGCAGTCTTCCCCATGATTGTGTAGCCTATAGAACTAGACTGAAAGACCATTTAAAGGCTTTTGCAGGTGGTTTGAGTTAATTAGCTGATTAGAGTGTGGCACCAGGGGCCATCAATTTTGAACCTTTTCACAATATTCTAATTTTCTGATATGATGAATTTGAGATTTTCATTTGTTGTCATTTGTAATCATCAAAATTAAACAAAATAAACATCTGAAATATATGAGTTTGTATGTAATGTATGAATATAATATACAAGTTTCACTTTTTAAATGGAATTACTGAAATCAATCTACTTTTTCATGATATTCTAATTTTATGACCAGCACCTGTATGTGCATATGTTCATTAGCAAAAGCTTTAGGAAAAGTCTTTTCAGTGATTTATTTGGAAAACTTGGAAGTTGTGTTCCTTAATTTCCTTGTTGGTACATTATTAGCGTATATTGACCCTACATTGCATACAAATCAGTAAATCCATGAATAACTCTTGTATTACAGATGATGACGATGTGTAAGCTTATGTTTGCTGTTAATATGCTTGCTTAACTTTAAAAAAACCCACAAGAGCCACAAGGTTTTTTGGAAGGAAAAAGAGAGCCTAGATATTTTTTTTCAATCTTTCCAGATAAGTCACAGTGGACTTTTTATTGAAGAGTGTAAAAGATATTCAAACAGTATTAACTACATCTAAATCATCAATCAGCATGTATTTATTGTCTCTGATAAAAACAAAACAAAGTAGAATAAG